TTGTGATCTGTCTCTCTCTCTGTCAAATAAATAAAATCTAAAATAATAACAATAATAATATTGTCTGAAGTTCTAGGAATGTCATGAGATGCCATTTTTTTTTAAGATTTATTTTTTAAAAAAGATTTTACTTATCTGAGAGAGGGGGAGAGAGAGAGAGAGAGAGAGAGAGCGAGAGAGAGCATGAGGAGGGGCAGAGGGAGAAGCAGACTCCCCACTGAGCAGGGAGTCAGATGTAGGACTTGATCCCAGACCCCAGGATCATGACCTGAGCTGAAGGCAGATGCTTAACCGACTTAGCCACCACCCAGGCTCCCCAAAGATTTATTCATTTTAGAGACAGCGCATGAGCACATGATGGGGATAGGTGGAGAGAATCCCAAGCAGACTCTGTGCTGATTGTAGAGCACAACGCATGCTCGATCCCACAATCCTGAAATCACAACTCCAGCCAAACCAAGAGTTGTTCGCTTAATCAACTGCACCAGACTGGGACCCCTTCAAATGCCATTTTGGATGATTCCTATAGACTTGAGACAATGCCTAAGATTATGTTATAAAATAGTGCTTGCACTTAACAATAGACACACATCAAAGGTGCCTGGGTGGCTCAGTGGGTTGAGCCTCTGCCTTTGGCTCAGGTCATGATCTCAGGGTCCTGGGATCAAGCCCCGCATCGGGCTCTCTGCTCAGCAGGGAGCCTGCTTCCTCCTCTCTCTCTGCCTGCCTCTCTGCCTACTTGTGATCTCTCTCTGTCAAATAAATAAATAAAATCTTTAAAAAAAAAAAGAAATAGACACATCAAAATAGATATGCATGACTTTGAAAATTAAAGAATCTTAACACTTGCTAAGAAAACATTGGAAAGCACGTGGGTGGCTCAGTCGTTAAGCATCTGTCTTCAGCTCAGGTCGTGATCTCAGGGTCCTGGAATCAAGCCCTACAACGAGCTCTTCACTCAGAGGGAAGCCTGCTTATCCCTCTCCCACTCCCCCAGCTTGTGTTCCCTCTCTCACTGTGTCTCTCTGTCAAATAAATAAAAATAAAATCTTTTAAAAAGGAAAACATTGGAAAGCATTGTAAAAGTAGATTTTAAAATATTTTGTTTGAAAAAGACATTGAAGAGCATTAAGAAAAGACTCTATTACAATTATCATATGATCTCACTGATAGGAGGAATTTAAGAAACAAGACAAGACAGAGGATCAAAGAGGAAGGGAGGGAAAAATGAAACAAGATGAAACCAGAGAGGGAGACAAACCACAAGAGACTCTTAATCTCAGGAAACAAACTGAGGGTTTCTGGAGGGGAAGGGGGTGAGAGGGATAGGGCGGCTGGGTGATAGACATTGGGGAGTGTATGTGCTGTGGTGAGAAAAAAAACAACTCTATCCTTCAATGACAGAGCAAAGGGAAACAAAGAGTAGCAATGTAATTTGAATTAAGCAAGAGTTTGATTCTGTGATAGAAACTGAGAACCTGCATGTGCCTACTGATGCCTGAATATCCCCTGGGGAGAATTTTTTAAAAAATTTTATTTATTTATTTGAGAGAGAGAGAGAGAGCACAAGCAGGGGGAGTGGCAGAGGGAGAGAGAGAAGGAGTCTCCCAGCTGAGAAGGGACCCGCATGTGGGACTTAATCCAAAGACCCCGAGATCATGACCTGATCCCAAGGCAGATGCTTAAGTGACTGAGCCACCCAGGAGCCCTGGGGAGGACTTTGTGATTAGTGTTTTATATGGGTCTGGAATAAACTCAGATTTCATCCATTCAATACCTGTTCAATACTTAAGCCTTTACCACATACCACCCACTTTTTAAGTGCTGAAGATGTTCTGATCAAAATAAACAAGTCCCTGTTCTCATGAAATTTATCTTCCAATAAGTGAGTCAACAGCCAGTGTTGTCCATCACACCTCAAAATCAAGGTCCAGAATGACTATAGAATCTTCATTCCAGACATCAGAGCAGAGGAAAGGAATGGAGATGATTAAGATGCGCATAGCCCAGAACTTACATATCACTGACTTAAAGCGTGGTCATACGCTTTACATACACACATGGCTGCAATGAAGGCTCAGAAAATGTAATCAAATGGTTGAGTAACTACTGAAGAAGGGTAACAGGATACGCACGGTAACTAAGACTCTATGCTATCATCTACAAGTGAAGTTTAGAGAAGTTTCAGCTTAAAGCAAAAGGGATCATGATAAAATTTCATATCCTTTTGCAAGCATATATGAAAACTTAAACAGGGAGTTCTGTAATGATCTTTTCTTAAGAGGACAGGAAAAGTGGTGAGAGGCTTAAACTATAGAATAAAACTAGCTTAGATGCACGAAAGATTTTATGACAGTCAGGTGATTAGGACTATGTATTACATGTGTGTTGTATTACACATGTATTACATGTTGTATTACACAATTACATGTGACTAACTGGATTCCATCTTGACTATTATGACGAGTATTATAGAATAGGATTTTGTGTGTAAGTAATATGTACATTTTCTTTTTCTGGGCAGAGAGTCTACCCTTATCACCATATTCTCTACGACATATGTGAATAAAAACATTAAGAATTATTACTATATCTGATTTGATGTGGAACTTGACTTTTCTCATTCCCAGCTTTAGAAAATTATAATTGGTACTTTTTAGTAAGTGGGGCATTTGATAGTCCTGGCATTCGTATTTAAGAAAACTATCCAGTGCCTTTTCCATCTGTCTCTTTCCACACCTTCTGAACTGTTCTCCTACCTTCTCTCTTGTTGTATGAAGGTTTCTTTCTGCCCACTGAAGTCAGTTGAGATGAGAATGTTAATTTATTTGAAATGACGCTCTGAAAAAAATTTTAAAAGGTGTTAGTTTGCCATACCACTAGGGCAGTTAATGTTCATTGGACAGGTCAGGTCTGGCCCTGAATGTCCATTGTGATTACAACTCCAAACATCAGGGCACTTTCTAGGACAAGTTGCTAGGAAGGGCCTACAGTTTTAAGAGCCTTGGATTTTCTTTTTTTCCTTTCCTGGAGGCTTTTCTCTTCTTTGCCTTTTAATGGCTTGTTTGCTTCCTGTTGCCTTTGTCTAAGAGCTATAGGAAATCTAAAATCTTAGCCCACAGCTGTTTGGGCTTCTGGTTTTCTAAAGCAGATGCCAGCTTTCAACCCAGATCCAAAGGTTATAAAGGCATGTGATCTACACTCAACCAGTTTCCGGAAAGAGCTGCCCAGCACACTTTCCCTGGAAATAAACTCACTGCCAAATCCACTTTAGAACAAGGCAAAGTAGATGGGGCACCTGTGATGGTTCAGTCAGTTAAATGTCTGCCTTTGTCTCAGGTCATGATCGTAGAGTCCCAGGATCAAACACTACATCAGGCTCCCTACTCAGAAACGATTCTGCTTCTCCCTTTGCCCCTCACCCTGCTCGTGCTCTCTCCCTCCCTCTCTCTCTCTCTTAAATAAATAAAAAATAAATAAATACACTCTTAAAAAAAAAAAAAAGCAAGGTAGAGTATAACTAAATAATGCTTGCAGTTGTTTTTTTACCAATCTTGCCGATGCTAACCCCTTCCCCCCACCAAACTTCACTATTTCTACTCATTTCACTGTGTGATATCTTGTTGCTTTTAAGATGTGTCAGTGTTTGATGTGCCAGTTTTACTCTTAAAATGGAATTTTTGGCCAAGTTGGCTTACTGAAGTTAGAATTTTTTTCTTGTAATGATTTAGTGTGTTCCCCTCAGTGTCTTCTGGTAGCCTTTTTGACAGCAGCCTCCTGAAGTCAAGCTGATATTAGAAACACTGTAGGAGGAGCAGTCTCATTAAACTTGACAGCAGGGAAAAGTTTAAAGAAGTCTTCTTAACCAAGTTTGTCCCCTAGAAACAGAGCTCATAGATTTTAGGGCACAGTCTTTTCCTCATGATGACTCTATTGCCCTATTGTGGAGACAAATCGATTTTTATCCTCACAGCATGGAGAGCACCCTGCACTACCTCTAGAATATTCCATCAGAAGGGATTAGGATGGCAGACTGGATAGATGCAGGGACCAAGAAATTTGTCTTAAGGGACACGTTTGTAGAGAAAGTGAACTTAAACCAATGACAACAACAAAACGTACAACTTAGATTGCATGTGGGGAGGGGAGTGGAGGAGCTGGGGTCTTGGCCCCTCTGTTGAGCAGGCCCGGCTTCTTTAGGGCGCTCCTTTGAGTGATGCCCCACATCCCACGAGCTATGTCTTCTCTGTTGTACTTACAGATAACATAGAATACTCTTCTGAAAAACAAGTAGTCTGGTTATAGAGTCAATGCTTGGCCGAGAAGAGGCAAAGAAAAACTGACGAGAGAAGTGGTAACCGCCGAATCCAGTGCCCACACCCAGTCTGCCTGTCAGAGTGCGGGAGCTGCCGCAGCTGGGCCATTCGGTCAACCTCTACTCATGCTCCGAGGCTTGTATCCAGCAGAGCCTGCTGCCAAGCTTCTCTGACTCCCCTAAGCCTGGAAAATTCTGCATCTTTGGTGCAGTCGTTCGCTTCTGCGTGATGCAGCCTTATATCACGTTGTATGAAAACCGCTTCCTTGTTTGCTCCCCACCCCCCACAGTAAATAGGCCCACCCCCCAGGGCAGAGCTATTTTATTCAGGTTTGGCAACCCCAGGCTAAGCACAATGCCTGGTTGGCAGCCGTCTCAGACACTTTTCTTGAATGAATGGATACATGAATGAAAAAGTTGCATCTGAGAAGACCAACAATCACAATTCAGAGCGATTATACCCACTCCTTATTTTTCGGTATTCTCTATTCTCTTTTGTGCCTCTGCTCCTAGTTTCTGCTGCCCGATAGCACTTTTTCCAACAACAGCTATTTTCTAATGCTCTCGAGTGTGTGTAGGTGAGCAAAGCAGGCAGGACGCGGTGAGAACTGCACATGCGCCCCAGCACCGCCGAGGCCTCCGCCGGAGCGAGTCTGGCCGTTGGAGCCGGCGGAGGGCGACTCACCTGGGGGTGTCGGTCTGGACCCGCGGTTCTGGCTGTCAGCCGGACTCCTCCAGGTTTCCGCAGGTCGTGACTTCTGAGGCCTGAACATCTGGGCAGCTTCTTCATTCCTCCATCAGGGGCCTGGCCTGCCGAGGCCGGAACACCTGGGACAGGTGGTGTATCCCTCGGGGTGTGATGGCCTCAGAGTGCTCAGTCTTCTTATTGGACACAAATATAAAATCGCAGTGGGTTTCACTTTTCTGGTAAACACGATTAAAATTAAAATGTGGGGAAGGAAGGGAGAGGTATGGTGAGCAACATTTCTTCTCCCCACCCCCAAAGCCAGCTCCTTCACTTTATGAAGTTGGTGGAGATCATCACCTTACCGCGGATCGTGGTGAATTTACTGTAGCCAAATCTCAGTCTTCTGCACTACCTGGCTTCGAGGCAGCCCACCCCCCACTACCCCCGCTTATTAGAAATCCATGTTAGAAAGAACATGGATTTCTGCAGGTGCTTTCAGAAACAAATTTGCCATTGGTTATGTGCATTTTGTGATGTTTTGAACTGAACATTTGAAAATAACATTCACATTAAATCAAATTCAGGAGCAGTCAGAGAAATCTCCTAAAATCTACATGCTGAAAACATCACATTTTTCTAGTGATTACTTCGGTAGAGCAACTTAGAATCTGTGGTTTCAGCAAATGAAGTGTCCAGTGTAAAATGAAACCATCGTGTGAAAAGAAGACTTTAAGTGTTACTGTCATTGCTACACTTAACTAGTAATGTCCCTGCGAACGTGCACTGGGAAGTTCTTTACATGCATATATAATAATATAGCCACAAAAATCTCCGGATGTGGTGATATGAAAGCCCCTCAGGGCAACTCTCCACCTGGCACCGCTGACCCATCTGATCCCATTACCTAAGGATTTCCCCTTCTCCTGGGAAGTAGGTGGAAGGGTCATGCTGTTTGCTATTGCCTATTAAAAAAAAAAAAAAAGATTTTATTTATTTGACAAACAGAGATCACAAATAGGCAGAGAGGCAGGCAGAGAGAGAGAGCAGGTAGCAGGTTCCCCGCTGAGCAGAGAGCCCAGTTCGGGGCTCGATCCCAGGACCCTGACATCATGATCTGAAGGCAGAAGCTCAACCCACTGAGCCACCCAGGCGCCCCTACCGCCTATTTTTGAAGCAAAGTATGCCAAGGTCTGTGTGCCCTTCCCCAGGAATATCAGGGGAGGAGCCTGCCACATCTGCAAACTCTGCTTAGCTCTCTTTGGGGTAGAGATCATGCTTTGCTGGCACTTTATGTTTCTATAAAAGAATAGGGAGACGCTTGCCCCTCAGAGTCTATGGTGAGGTAAGAAGGCTGATTAGTTGGCAGTTGTGATTAGGTCTCTTTAGAGGAGAAAGAAAGAAATGGTCAGAAAAATACACCTTTCCCTGTGGGTATCCCTATAGGAGCTTGACTAGAGGCCAAACAATCAGAGTGAACAATGGCGATTCTGAGGCTTAGGGCTGTTTGGATAATTAATTATAATTAAGCAGTAATTAATAATGATTTGAATAATTGCAGGTTCCCTACCTTCAGGCTGTGGGTTGGAAGCAGCAACAAACACATTGAGCCATAATGGAGCCTGAGGCAAAGGGGAAATTGACAATACTTATCCCATCTTTACTAAAATTGTTGGTATTTTGTTCAATATAGATTTTTAAAATAATTTTATTTTTCAAAACATGCTATTTATTTATTATCTTAATTACTGAGTGTTTGTGCCCCCTTACATAGGGATCCTATGGCAAGTGCCTCACTTACCTCTCCTCAGGCCAGGTCTTAAGCCCAGAAACAATAGGAGGGGGTATCTGGATACTGCTTGGCCTGCTCTGGACAGGGAAAAGAGGGAGAGTCAAACCCTTGGACTGTTCTCTCTGATCCTTGGTGTCTTGAAATTTCCAAATCACTGAGATGAGAATAATCCAATTCTAGTCAGGGATGAAAGACAGCCCAGGTCTTCCGTGGACCACTGTTACCACGTTATACAGATGAGAAACAGGGGGTCAGTGCATGTGACTGACATGCCTAAGAAGAGAGATCCAGAAAGTGGAAAGTGAGGACTCGATTCCATACCAGGTCGACTCTGGGAGTCTGTGCTCCGAGAGACTGCCCATTCACTGTGTCCCCACAAAAATGATTAATGATGTATTTTTTTCTCTGAACATCAATCAGGCCAGCTAAACGTCACAACAAAAATATCTTCTGATAATTTTAACAACTTTTTTCCTGGGACAAAAGTAATATATATTCATTGAAGAGAAATAAGAAAATACACAGAAGTGAGAGAAATCAAAATGAATCAAAATTCTACACCAAGAACCACCATTAGCATTTTGTTGCATCTCCAAGTTTTATTTTAATAAAGATAAATTATATGCATACGGTTTAAAAATAAAATGATGCTACACACGCAGTTGTTTTTAACATACTTTCTTAACAGTATCCGTGAGTATCTGTTCCTGTCGTTGATTTTTTGCAGAGCAATTTGCAATAGATTCATAATATGCATTCACCCGTTCATGAATATTTATTGAGGGCCTACTACTCTGCATGCAACGACTAGGCAGGCACTAGAGATGCATCAGTTAACAAAATAAAGAATTTGTCCCTCTAGGGTTGACCTTTAAATGGAGGAAGACCTTTGACAAATGAAAGAATAAATGTGTGTCAGTTAGGGGCACCTGGGTGGCTCAATCGGTTGAGTGTCTGCCTTCAGCTCAGGGCTCAGGTCATGATCCCAAGGTCTTGGGATCAAGCCCTGCATTGATATCCTTACTCAACAGGGAGCCTTCTTCTACCTCTGCCTGCGGCTCCCCCTGCTTGTGCTCGCTCTATGACAAATAAATAAATAAATAAAATCTTTTTACAGGAATGTGTGTCAGTTAATAGGGACACTATTTTGGATGTTGTAAGGGAGTCTTCTGTGATTAGAAGCTGTTTGGGGCTGAACTGTATCCTCCCCCACCCCATTCATATGTTGAAGTCGTGACCTCCACTGTATGCGGAGTGTATTTGGAGATAGTGTCCTTATGACTGTATTTGGAGATAATGTCCTTAGAGAGGTAATAAGTTAAAATTAGATCATTAGGGTGAGCCTTAATCCAAAACTGGTGCCCTTTGAAGGAGTTTGGACACAGACATACATGGAGGGAAGATCATGTGAAGACACAGGGAGAGGACAGTCATCTATAAACCAAGGAGAGGGACCTAGAACAGATTTTTCTCACATGTGCCTCAGAGAAAACCAGACCTGTCTCACTGTCTTGGACTTCCAGTCTCTGGAACTGTGAGCAAATTCATTCCTGTTGTTTAAGTCGCTAGTCTGGGGGCTTTGTTAGGGTAGCCCTAGCAGACTAACAGGGGCAGAGAGTGGTCTGAGCACAGCGAGAGGGTTCAAATCCTGCAGGATCCAGGGAATGGTGAGTGCCCAGGCCTTAGAGTGGAGTTTGCTTGCTTCGCATTAGAGGAAAGCAAGGGAGCCAGGTATTCTGGAAGGGTCACTGAGGGAAGAATGGAAGGAGATGAGGTTAGAGGAAGAAGCAGGTACCAGTAGGTCCTAAAGCAGCCTGCCAGCCTCACAAAGGACTTCAGAGTGTATTCTGGGAAATAGGAAACTGCTGGAGAACCCCTGGACTTGACATATTTTAACGAAGGGCCTTGGCTCTGTGAGGAGTCCGGTCTAGATGTATCAGAAAGTGTGTAACCCTCTTATCAATCAGTGAAATTATGTAGCAGAGCCTGGTAAAGGTTTACAGGGAGAGGCAGGGGGCGGGGCTTCAGGGACACTGGCCCCGAGTCCTAAGCCCTTGCTGTTCCTCCACCATCCCACTGGGCCATCCCATCCCCCATCTGATAAACTGGATAAACCATCATTTTAAACTAGCCTCAGACTTTTTCCCATGAGTCCTTTTCCATAGGGTCATTCACCGAGACTCTTCCGCCCTGTTAAGGTGTTAACCCTTCCTCTTGCTTATTTCTTTTCCCTCTTTCTGGAGCTTACACCCAGGTTCCCAATCCTCAAACTCCCTCTGCCCCAACTCAAGCCTTCCTAGCTCACCGGCACCAACTGCCACCAGCCAGAATTCCATCTTACTCTTCTCTCCCCATCTCTGCCTCCCATTCCCTCACGCCTGGCTTCCGCTAGGGAATGGAGAAATGGAAGTCTTATCCCAGATCTGCAAGTGAAATTTCAGGGAAGTAGACCATGTCCATCAGTCAGTCAGGGGACTGAAGTCATGGCCACGCTGCCCAATTTGAAGCCTCATGCCTTCTGTCAAATCAGACGTAATGGCCACAGGGGCAGTAACTAGCTCAGGGTTGGACCAAACTTCGATCTGTGCACCCCTCTAAGGAAGTTTTTGTTAGTTTCCAGACTCTTCTTAGGCTCCTGAGGGGTTTTCTGTCTTGGCAGGAGCCCTCATCAGTAGCTTCCTTTAACGATGTGCATACGTTTGCCTCCTGCTGAAGGTCAGTACTGTCCTCCCCCCAAGGCCAACTGCCTCTATCAACCTATACTTAATCTGTTCTAGGCTGCGTTTTGACTGTTACTTGCTTCATGAAACTAAGAGATCAATCTGATTCTCTTTCTCCAGTGCAATAAACACACAGAACTGGGGGGAAAAAAAAAAACAAATGAATGCCATTAGTAAGGGTCCCAGTTCAGCCCAGACTCTTGGGCTGATCTGTTCACCTGAGCACAGATGACAGCTGACGTTATAAAGACAGGCAGCTGGATAGTGCCAAGGGCAAACACCCCACGCTTAAGAAGGGGAACACCAGGAGGGTCACTGGCTGGGGTCCTCATGGTCACAAAGGACCTCAGTGCCTCCAGGTTATACCTATATGTACAGAGAAGTATTGGTGGATTTGAAGAAGGAAGATGATTTCCTCCCAACTTAACTCTGTGTCTCATTACTGGGTCATATCTGTCATGAAAGATGAAACAGTAGTTTTAATAAATCTTCTAATAATTCCCTTAATCATTTTGGGAATAACATAACTGCATTGAACTGAATGTGTGTGGGGTGGGTACACGTGGATCGAAATTGTTTACTTCTTAGATACATTTAAAATACACCACAAACGTTGTAACCCTATTTTGGCATTTCTTTTTCTTCTTCCTTTTGTTTGGCGTTGGTTTGGTTTGCTTTAATATGGAAGTGGCCTGTGCCTCTCTTGACCTCTGAAAGGCCGTATGAAAACCTGAAACCGAGGCAAGGTGACAAAGTCTGGTCATTCACCAGACGGGCCTCCTCATGTTACTTCTTTACTTAGAAAAATAGAGTGTTGTTGCAGAAGATCCAGAGTTGCAAATGTTCTGCCCAGGCCAGCCAGTTTCTGAATTCTTAGATTTTTCATTTCACTGAGCTGTCAGGGAATTTTCTAGACTAGAAATATCTAAGCGAGAGCAAAACAAAACCTCAAGTGTGAATGCACATCCTCCAGGTTGAGGGAGAATCAGATAAGCCCCTGGGGTGAAGTGAGAGCAAGGCAGCTGATTTTCACCCTACGTGGTCATCTCACAATCAGGTAAGGTGAGTGGAAAGTTACAAAGGTTTTGCTGTATATTACCAGATTCTCATTCTTCTTTGCTTGAGCAAAATGGCAAAATACCTCGTGTAGTCTGTGAAGAATGTTCATAAAATTATAGTTTGATCTTTGTAACTGCCATTGTTATCCCAGACACTAATGTGCCTCTGTGTTCAGGAGAGAAATGACAGCATAAAACTTTTTAGCCATGCTTGTACTTCATAATATTGCTGTCATCTTGAGTTTGAGGGATCATGACACTGGCTGTATGTAGTTTTAGGTTCCCCAGTGATGCCAAATATATTTGTGTCAACAAACACCGTTCCAAAATACCGGAGTTCAATTTAGCTAAATACCAGGGGACTGACTCAAATTACGTTGAAGGAAAAAAAAAATGTATCTTTAACTCAGATGGCAAAACATTGAAAACTCAGAAAATCTGTGTTATAGGGACTTGGAAAGTAGTAAAATGAGACATTTCCATAAAGGCTAATAAATTTTGTATTTTCTTTAGTTCTATTATTGCAACCCTTTTCAACTCCACATGTGAAAATGCTATTTTTACCAACTCATGAGAGCGTCTGATTAATTACTCTGTAACACATCATTGTTGTTAGAAATGCAGAAGTTTGCCTTCTATTGCAGAACTATACAATATAGTGAGATACCAATAATCGTAGTAGTAATAATCACCAATGTAGTAAGTAACTCTAATCGAGTACTTAATATGATTTGCTAAAGTTTTGCTAGTTAAGCGCTCCCATGGGTTATTTTATATAAGCCTCCCAACAATTTCATGGGCTAGGAAAAGTAATTTGTTAATTCTTATTCTAGTGAATGGCTGAGATTTTTATCGAGAACTTACGATGTGCTAGGCGCTGTACAGATAATAACTCATTCATTCCTCATGACTCTCCACAAAGTAGGTGCTCTCATTCTTCCCATTTTAGGGATGAGAAGACTAAGGCACAGAGTTGAAGCGACCTGCCAAAGGCCACAAAGCTGTAAGTCACATGATGAACCCTTAACTCTGGCTCCAAGCTTTACCTCTTCCTTATTAAACAGCTGCTCAACACGAGTTACATTTTCTTTGAGCCTTTTACGTGCCAGGCTCTGTATCAAATGATCTTCATGTGGTCATTATTCTTCCTGGAGGAGCTCATTGTTTTCCCATTTTTCAGATGAAAAAAGTCAGGCACAGGCCATTTGCTCAGGGTTCAAAGCCTGGTCTGGCCTGACTCCCAAGCTCATTTCTTTCCATTTTATTGCACAGAAAAAGTTGGTATGGTTTCTAAAGGTGGATGGTGACTCCAAGGGAAAAGTAAGCACCTAGTGGGAACCCAATTAATCAGGTCCTGAAGTAGGAGAAACACTGCATAAACATAGCATGCTGTCCGTTAGACACACAGGAGCGGAGAACTGGATGACACCCTCTCCCTGTGTCACCCTGTCCCTTCCAGGATGAGCACATGAGGCTGCCGTCTCCAGAAACCAGC